TTTTAATAATAATTTCTCAATAAATTCCACGGTAACCTATATATTTTATTGTAAAAAACAAAACCTAAATATTTCAAAAACCTTATTTTTATTTTTTTTTCTACTCCATCTAATCAATAAATAATAGTAAAATTAATTATAATTCGAAAATTGTTGTTGAAGTCTTACTTTCTCATAAGACACTGTACAAACTTACACATTTAAAAAAAAAATTCTTAAAAATTTGCACGGTAAGGTATAGTTAAAAGTTCACTATTAGATAAATAAGGACATCTACTATTAGAAAAAAATTAATTTTAGTCATAATCTACTATTTTTTATTTAACAGTGGCGAAAGGACCTCCTTAAAAGTTATATCAACTTTTAAGTCAACAAATGGATCAGCTGCTGCAACTTTGATAGTACGTATATTTTCAAAGTTTAATAAAAAATGGAATAAAATTTTTTCCGTAATTTTAATGCACTAACTCGTTTTTGGAATGTTTATTTCTTTCAGGAAAAAATAAGCCAAAGTTGGGAATTTGCTTATAACAAATGGAATTATTAATAAAAAAATTTTTTGCTGTCACTTTGTAGAGGACTGTAAATTATGATTTAAAAAAAAACACATTTCTTAACTAATAATTTAAACAATAGATATATTAAAAAAACGATTATAAACAATTAAAAGTTATTATTAAGAAAAATTTTTTTTTTAAAAATCACAATTGGCTATTGTCTAGAAAGTTGTTAAAAGAAAATTTAAAAAAATTGAAATACTCCATTTGTTTATAAAAAATTTATAAACAAATAGAGGAGAATTTTTTTTTTAATTAATAAATGTCTTTTCTCGACATTAAAACAGTAATATTATAATAAATTGAAAAAAAAATTTTATAACACCACTGTGACTTTTCTGTTTTGTAAACTTTAAAAAATTATTATAAACAAAGTATTAACATTTTTTAAACTTTTATGAAGCTATTTTGTTTTATATGTATATAAAAAGAGCTCCACGAAGCAAAAAAAAATTACGGTAGTTATTTAAGGTAGTTCACTCGCGACAATCGTACACAAAAATATCGCCCTATAGTGAATACCAACCGTTCGAGATTCTTAAATCTAAAGAAAGGTTATTTTTGTAACAGACTGTACACACAACACATGTGATCCTATATACAAATATGGTATTATATCGCGTAAAATCCATCCGGCAACGTTGTAAATATATTGTGAAACGTCAACTGTATTCCTAAAGTGAAATAAATGTAAATATCAAAATGTTTCATTGTCAGGATCAATTAATTGCGAGATAAAGGAAAATTTGTTAAGCAGAACGTCCTCAACAAACGCAAAAAATCAATTTTGGCTATGAATAATGCAAAAAAATTGAGAAAGGAAACCCCAAGCTTAAAAACTAACCTGTGGTCGCATCGCGGAATTACTAGAGTTGGGAAAACATTTAAAATGTTACTGGTGTGAAAGAGTTCTTTCTCTTGAAAATATTACAAATGAAACACGAAAGGGCCTTTATTCAATTTTAAATGTTAAACGTAATGAATGTAATATTGAAACTATAGTACCTACGGACAAAATTCATGCAACAAAAAGTGATGTCAACACTAAAGCAGTTCTAGGTAAATTTAAAAAATTACATAAGTATTTGTTATGTTTATAATTTTTTTATTATAATTAATATAATTTTATTTATTTAAAGGTGCTGTCCATTCAGGGTTTGGTCAAACTGCTTTAAATAAATTTCTTGCTGCCATGAACGTTCCTACGATATCATCAATACCACAGAATATCATTACTTTTATTTGTATTTTTTTATGACTTCCTCATACTAGTAAGTTAAAATTTTAAATTACTTTATATTAATTTTTTTTGTGTAACTGTATTTTATTTTGAAGGCATGTTTAAATAAAATTATATTCATCTTTTGCATATTTATTTAATTTTGAAGACATGTTTAAATATAATTAAATTTAAATTGTTAAATCATATCAACCTAAAGTATAAACAATGTCCCTTCCCAGAAGGCCTCGATAAACTTGACCTGTCCGCGGCAATAAAACGGTTGGGAAGCACTGATCTAACAGACATTTGAAATAGCGGGCGTTGAGTGTATCGATTGCAACGTTGCCAAGTTGTAATCACAATACGCCACTATGCGTCGACTACTTTAAGAACATTTTTATTTTAAAAATCTATATTTCTTTATCAAAACGGTAAAAAAAGTTATCGTTTTTTTAGAAAATTTTATAAGTTCTTGATTTACATTACATTAGTTTTTAAAAAATATGGTAAGAACCGTTTTCGAGATATCTTGAAATAAATGCAATGATTGTGTACATGACAGGGCTTCAAGAGTGTTAATTATGCACATTTTGATTGTTAATATCTCGTTTTACAGACGGTCAAAATTTTTTATTTTTTTTAGGTACATAAAAGACACTTTCATTAACCTCATATTTCAATTTTATTGAATTCTTAAGAAAGGCCGTTTTACAAGTGAACTACCTTAATATTTTTATCAATTTGTAATGATGAGATAAATTCTAAAAATTTTGTTAATTAACAATAACCTACTTCGTTGGAAAATTAATTTTTATGAAAAATTCCAACGGGAATAAATTCTTCTAAGTGTTAAGAATACACCATAATTTTTTAAAATTTTTGAATTTAATTTTATTAACTTAAAAAAATTATTTTATGTAACGTACTCGGTTTCGACGCCGTGCGCGCAACCTAAAAATGGCGCGCGGAAGGCTACTTTGAGCGTTAAATTAAAATTATAAATAATGGAGGTACAGTTCCGGGAGTCGAAACTTATTTATAGCAAATTTCCTCCTCTTTAAAGATCTTTTTTGAAAAATCCAAAAATATTTATAGTTTACAAACTATAGGCGAAAAACCAAACACCATGTTTTTGAGGTGTTTAATTGTTTATAACTTTTACAATTTTTTATGCACTGCAAAATTTTTCTTCACACATTGATCTAGACATTATTCCGAATCGAATGAGCTATTGAACATAATTTTCGTGATAGTATGTCCCAAAAACACGCTTTTGAACTTGTTGATTAGACTATATTGGCTGTGGTAGGAACCAGGCTCTTTTATTTTTCTGTAACTACTATGAAATATTCAATATTGTTTCAAATCAACAAACACATACATTTATTGTTAGTATTTGAATATGTGCTTATATTACTTATGGTTGGTTATAATTATTTTTTTCATGTTTTACATTTTTTTTAAATTGGTTTTTTTAAGCTTTTTTAACCTTTTTTTAATTCTTTTTATCTATTGTTTTTTTTTTCATCAAATGCACGTACAATTTTTGTTATAATCGCAGTGTTGCTTACACACAGTTGTTAGTAGTATTTACAATTTTATATTACATCTTTTGATGTGTAGGTAGGTACAAAATAATACATTAATGTAGTTAGTAAATCTAATACAGTTAAAATTTATTTATTTTCAGTTAGATCATTATAAAAATTCGGGACAAAGAAAACAAAAAACTACCATGCAGAAATGGATGGACCTATGTTTGAAAATTGGTTTTGGAATATTATAAAAAAAAATCCAGTCAACTTTGTTATTGTTTTAGATAATGCATCCTATCTCAGTCGATTAAAAAAGTCACTACCTATAACAAGATGGAAAAAAGAAGATCTTTTAAAATGGATTCAAAATATTATCATTTTTCCTAAATCCTTAAAGATAGAATTACTCGTTATAGCAAGGCAACATAAAAACATATTCAAAAATATATTATATACGAGGTGGCTCGAGAAGAAGGAATTGAAATTTTTAGAGTTAAATCTCTGGTTAAATCCCGTTGAACAGATCTGGTCACAATTAAAAGATTATGTTTAAATATAACATTTAAATTACCTGATGTGCGAAATTTGATTTTGAAGGCAGTTTCAGATGTAACTGGAGAACATTGATCATGTTAAAAAGGTCAAAAATTCATTTTGGAAAGCGAATATAGCAATGAGAAACTTAATAGACCTTATAATAATAAAAAATCTCAAAAAAGACACAATGATAATGTTACTAGTAGTTATAAAGAAGACAGTGACTTTTAAAGATAGTTCTTGAACTTTTTATTTGGTTTAATATTTGCTTTTAGGTACTGAAGTGTTTGATTCCATTAATAACATATAATCCTCCTTGTTATTTATTAGTTAAATTTAATTCGTTCAATGTTCAAGTGCAATAATTTTGTCGGTAGTATAAGGTTTTTATTTATTTTTTGTAAATAATATAATTTTTTTCATTCAAATTTAATCTACGAAGTGCGTATATACCATTTTATATGCCGTGACCTTATTTATATTGTAGAAACATATTTTTCAAAGTACGCCTATGAAATGTGACGTTATATCCCCATTTTTACTGCACTCCTCTTTTATTCAGACTTATAGTGAAATACGAAATTAAGATAACAATATTAACAAAACTGCAAAACACAGGAAAATAAAGTAAAAATCAATAATCAATTAAACAACAACATTGAAAATTGAATCGTCTACTGTTTATTTCGTGTTATAACCGTAGGAAAAGTATAGTGTTCATCTAGTAAGGAATGCTCATTTCCTACCTGTTAAACAATGTACTTTATTTTTAAATTTATGGTCTTGAGATCTATATTTATATATAAAACAAAGGATTACTTTTGCGATTTATCCGAAGAAGAACTAATTCATTTAAATGTGACAAATAATAAATTAACCTTTTGTCCCTCTAATTATATGGATATAAAATCCTGGATATTTCAATGCTTTGACTCTAGGAGCCATTTATTAATATTGGTCAATTTAAAAATAGTTCAGAAGAATTATCTTTAATATCAAAGAAAACCTGCTATAACTTAAATGACTTTATGCATATTTTTTATTTCTAATTTTTATTTTTATTAAAATTGGTTTTTCAAATGGAACTGTTACTTTAATATCCTTACGCCTACTTAAAAATAAATTCAAATTTAATAATAATAAACTTACCTTTACAGACTCCTCTCCTTCATGAAGCTCCCCTAAACTAGGTCTCTTAACGGCCTTCCTGGAATTCCTATAGTTTTCCAATCTGGGCAAAGCCTCCTTCGTGAGTTGCACCAAGGACTTCTTTCTCTTGGGGGGCACTTGCAACGTGGTCGTTTGGTTCAACACTGCACCGTTCTTTAAGTACGAATCACTATTTTCCTGCAACTGAAACCCCGTATTTTCGATTCCACCACGATCGGCATCGTAATCACCCCCAGTATACCTTCCTTCCATTGTACTGCAAAAATTTCACAAACGGTTTATCATGTTTGTCTGAACTGCGAACAAATCGGAAATTTTACTTGGCAAAATAAAAGGACGCGCAACTCTCGAGCAGTGCTCTCGAGTACGGTTGGTTTACCGCTAAAGCTCTCGAGCGATCGCTTAACTTGTGTATACTACTGTCAATAACTGAACTTGAATAATTATATCGCCATGCGATTAGATTTTTTGTTGTTTGTTGCGGTGTCGTGAGAGCTTTTTACTGAAACGTTTCGCGTTGTCGTGTTTCTTTTTATGAGGTTGAGGCACATCGGAATAATTAATCGATCTCGATCTAACGAGATTTTTCCAAATCGCGATTCCGAGAGGCGGTTGAATTGGGATAGGGGTTTTTGGGAAATGTGACGACGCGGCGGGCTGAGAGAATTAATGACGAATTGAAATGTTTTTTTAAATATCTATATAAAAATAGTCGAAATCAGGACCGGTTTTAGCTGACTTGTTCAACTTTGGAGACCTACGATTGGTTCGAGGAAAACTTGAGGTTGACCTACTATGAATGTAAACAAGGGGAAGGGAGTGTGTATACTAACCAACTGCGCATCATCGATTGGACTAAAATGTTCTTGTTTTTTATCGCAATTCTTATATTTGTCTTTTGTTAGAAATGATATAGGTACGTTGTAGACTAAAATTGAACAACTTTATAAAATTTGCCAAACTGAATATACGAGGGATATTCCGAAATTTTTTTCTTTTTAAAATTAGTATACTTTTGTCATTAAAGACTATCGAAAATATGACTAATAATTGTGAAATCTTTAGTAAAATTCAATCAATAAAATAAATAATTTGTATAAATTTGAGGAAAGAACGTATAATGTTTAAAAATAAAATTAGAATTACAATATTTTGATGGCTAAGAGGACAAAAATGTTTTACAATTAAATCGGCGCCGCGACGGTTCAGCAAAAAAATGAAAAATCATTTATTAATGTATTGTAATCGTGAAAAAGTCACCTTAAGAGATTATTTTAGATTTTCACTGTCAGGGACCCTAGATTACGAAAAACATGTTTCCCCATTCCCATGGACGTAGTTACACAATTCTATAGGAAGGGTCAAAATTTTAAAAAATTTAGAATGTTTATTTGTTGAAAAACGAAGAAAATGAAAAATAAAAGTAAATTTTCTTATGATGGATTTAATTATTATGTGACGTCATGGCTTACTTCCGGTTTTTCCAGAAATAACACAAAATCGCAATTTATTTTTTGTTTTTAATTGAAAACCCTTTTTCTTATTGAAAATTTGAATTTCTGGTACATTTTTGTATAAGAAGCGTGTATTGAAAATTTTCTGTCGGTAACATATTAAAAAATATATTTTCCAATAGGATTGTCATTTTAACAGCTGACAAAAAATTTTCAACACATGATTCTTATCCATAAATGTCTCTAAAATTCAAATTTTCAATAGATGCGGTGGTTTCTATTTAAAAATTAAAAATAAATTGTGATTTTCTCTTATTTCCGATAAAACAGAAGTACGCCATGTAGTCACACACCAATTGAATCCAGTATATGAGTGCATTTGTCCCAAGCTTTTAAACAAATAAGTTTTTATTGCAATATCTCAATTAAGAACGAAGATAATTAATGGAAATTATTAAAAGGTTTGCTAACAATAAAAATGCTTAGATACGCCACTGGTATACGGTAAATGGGTCTCGATGGGAATTTTGAAGCCTAAAAAGATTTTATAAAGTTCGTACATTCCTATATGTTTTTCCATAAACGAATTAATAATTCCATATTTAGAAAAAATATTCAATATGGCGGCCATTTTGACAGCTGACAGAAAATTGTCAATACACGATTATTATACAAAAATGTCCCAGAAATTTAAATTTACAATAAAAAAGAGGGTTTCCTTTTAAAATTAAAAAAAAAACGATTTTCTGTTAGTTCCGGAAAAACCGGAAGTAAGCCATGACGTCACAGAACAATTGAATCATTCATAAGAAAGTATTTGTTCTAGTCTTTCAAACAGAACAAAATTATTCCGATATCTCACTGAATAGCGAAGTAAGGGGGAGTGGAACTTTAGTAGTAACCCTAACAATAGGCGCGTTCAGACGACGTTGAGTATGGTGACTTGTTGGGTCTTCTGAACGTCACTTGTTGAGTTTTGGTTAATTTCAACCGTTGCTCAACATCGACACCAGGAAAATTCTATGGTGACTTTTGTGAACGAAGTATTGTACTCAGTGTTGCAAACTAAAGGAATTTTTAACTTAGAGATTTCTAGTGTTTTTTATTGATTTTTAACCACTCTAGGAGGATAAAGCTGATTATATGTGATTATAACCGCACATTTCTTAACTTTGAATATTATTTTTGTTGTTTTTAAAATTCTAAAGTTAAACCATGATGAAAAATGTCCCTTATGACCACATACTTTGATTTTCTTTTACTATACGGAGAATGGTCGCACTGCGCAGCTTTCTGAGTGCCTTTTAAAAGGAGATAGAAAACTCCGCCATTTTGATCCCTTATTACGTGTTGCCTACATCTTGGCGCAATATTTTTAATAAGTGCGTTTTAATCATCCGCTTCTGCTTCGGAATTGTCGGTTTTCTTGTTTTAATCTGACAGGTTAAAACGACTAAACCGACAATTCCGGAAGCAGAAGCGGATGATTAAAACGCACCTGATATTTTGCTTGCTGCTGTCAGTGTCAGTGAATATTATTTTTGGAGTCACAGTTTATTGCTAAAGAATCAGTTAGCTCACTCGGACCAGTTGAAAGTTCCAAAATAACATCCACTCCAGGGATATAAATTCAGGACACGCAGAAGACTGCTGTTTTATTATAGGCGGTTGTCATATATTGTATTATCCGAGTTGCGCAGTGTATAAACTGGAACATTGAGATCAAAAGTGCCGACGCAGAGTGAGCGATCTGATTCTTTGGCTATAAACTGTGGCATAGGAATCAAAATGGCCGCGCCCTATGTTAGGCGTGTCGGACCTCTCTCTTGCACCGTATAGTAATCAAAGTATGTGCTTACGACTGATTATGACTTATATTTTATAACCGAAAATGATTTTATTTATATCATCACTAGAGGTCACCAGGTGTATGTGTATTGTCTAACCGCTGAACCAACTTATACCGTTCAGGTACTTTTAATTGTTGACTTCCACCATATCAGAAACAGGTTTTCGGTTTTAATCAACTGTTGCGTCGGCTGAACGCGCCCAATGTCACTGACCTATTTGACAGAACTGATACTTAAGTTGTCATAACAAGTCTCTAATAAATAAAAATAACCAGAAAAGAATATATAAGAGACAAAAACTAAAATAAAGAAGAAACAAGAAACTTAAATAACATTTTTAAAAAACAAACAGAAGGTGTAATATAAAAGAAACATATGAACAAGAAGATACAGCCATACATAATAATATAAAAAAAAAAATTATAAAAAAACAAAAACATAAAAAAACTCTCTCAAACACGACGATGAACACAAAAAAAAAACACTAGGAAAACGCAAATTTTAAATTTCTTTTTTCTCTACTAAAAACATCGATAACAGAAAACATAATTTATTTTTCAGTCAGCCTATTTTCATTCATTATTCGCTCCGTGCATGACAGCAGCGCCAACATTTGATGAACTAAACGACGATATTTGCGTATACTGACAATACAATTTTTAATAGAGTTCGTAATTAAAAAACATATATTTTAATTTTAATAAAAGTATATGGATTTGTAAAACAAGTGAAAAAATTATTAATATATATTTTTATTACGTCAGCTCTAATAAAGTAGTATAATCAATAAAAATTAATAATAAAACAGGCAAGTATTTACGAGAAAATGTATATGCCTAATAAGTTGTCATTGAAGAATAGGTTAAATAATATCAAAATAAAAACATTACCATTATATAATAACGTAGAATTAAAACGTATTAACAAAAATAATTGGTATATTTGTGATTGTAATTTATAATTTCTTCAGTTTAAAAAAACCCATAGAAATTAATGATTAAAACTGGTTTCCTATCAAAAAGTCACACGATTGCATTTCAGCCATATACAATAATCAAAGGCAGAAATCTTATCATTTGCTAAACATTTAATATTTAAGGGAATAATTTATTGTTTATTTAAAACCTGTTCTGATGTCTATTATTTCCAATATTACTGTTATTATTACAAAAATAAAGGTTTTTTTGCTACTGATAATGAATATAATTTACAGTGTTTTTTTTTAGTATAATTTACAACATAGCAACTCCGGTGGCTCATTTTATTGTTTTTAACCTATTTTTTTAATAAAAAGTAAAATGTATACGTGTATTTGATACGCCAAAATTACAAAATATAGCTGAAGTACTCGAATTATTCTCAGCTTGCTCTAGTATCGCTTTTGCTTACCATACCATGACTTCGCACTGATCAAATAGACCGCAGCCATGTTTTAACATGTTTTAACATGCGTTCTTTCAATTAACTCAGTCGTTGGTGGAAAAGCCATAAATAATTTTTAAACCACTTTGTATGTCTGGATAAAATTCACAATGTTTGGACGCTATATCATTAATGGAGAGCTCATTGTGTGCAGAAAGTTCTTTCGTACTCCAGTTTGGTATTCAGCTTCAAAATTGTCAATTCCAAATTTTTTACTATTTTCATTTTCTAATCAGTAGTAAAAAACGATTTTTTTAAGTTTTTGAGATATAACAGGCTTAAGGAAAAACTAACAGAGTCTTCGGAAAAGCGTGATGTAAGCGACGTAAGGGAATCCAGATATGCAATAAATATATTCAACCTATAATATTCTTCAACTATATTAGCCTGAATATTATTATTTCTATGAGATTGTTTGTTCGTAATGCATATCTTACGCATTGTTAAGTCGTAAAAGCCAGGGGGGGGGGGAGGGGCAACTGTCCCCCCTCGCCCCTCCCAAACGACGCCAATGCCCATTCCGTCAGTCTATCTGTCGTCTGTTTATTGGCGCGATAGCCCAAAAACGGCTTTATAAAAAAAACTTTAAATTTTGTATGACTCAAAATCAGTTATATTTCCAATCAGTTATATACAGACTAAGCAGTTAAAAAAAACTATATTTTAAAGTCTGCAAACTTCGACTAAAATTGGTATCTGAGAATTTTAGAAGTCAAAGATAACAGATCCTAAAGTAAAAGATTATGAGTTACAGAAAAGTTGTGAATATGTTTCAAGTCCCAGTTTATCTCAGCTTCGGCAAGATGATAGTTGGCTGGTGTGAATTTGTAACTAATTTGGGTGTCGTCGGCGAAGAATTGTACATTAAAGTATTCTATATTTTTCGCTAGATCAGAAGTATATATTAAGAAAAGCAGCGGACCTAAAACTGAACCTTGAGGTACTCCTGATTCAATTTTGTTTACCGTTGATATTTGGTTGTTGACTATTACTTTTTGGCCACGATCAGATAAATATGTTCT